GTTTAAATGGTTGTTCCCTTATTTCGCAGCAACGTAGGAAATCTGTCTATCTTGTTTCATCTTTTAGCTTAGTCTTTCTCCTAGTAAGAATTAATACATGCATGATTGCTTGGGATCTTATATTCAAGTTAGAATATCTGTTTACTTATTGATGAATTTTGTTTCATTAATTATTACTTGCCCTTTTAGTTGTTAAAATTTCACCAACTAATAATCTCTATGTGATCCATTTATAGCTAGGGAAGTTTGAGTTGATCTGTTTTGGACTCAATACTTTGGTTTGATTTTTTTTAAAAATATGTATGATGATGTGTCGATTTTTGTTGAATCTTTTGTCGTTTGTTACTTAAAATTAGTATAAAATTTCTATGTTATGAATGGATATTAATCCCTTTCTTTTTATCTTGTTCGCATGCAAAACCATTCGAGTTCGCTAAGAACTTGTTGTTCCGTATCTCGAGAGAGTCGTAAAGACTCATAGTCTCTCATCAAGCAAGACAACATTAAGAGAGGCATACAAGTCATGAAGTTAGAAGAAGAATCCAAAGTGGATTAGAAGACGCTTCTTTATTTTTATTTATTTATTTATTTATTTTTGTGTTTTATTTGTAATGGGCATAAGCCCTTGTTGTTGTTGTTTTTTTACTTTCTCGTATTATTTTTGTATGTTTAGATTAGGACAGGCGAATGGGTTAAAAATCCAAAAACAGGTGGGTCTAAAACTCGGTCAAGGCGCACAAAACCCGAGTTTGGACCCAAAAATCTCTCTCCCTCTCTCTCTCTCTCTCTTTACTCTTTGTTTACGAGCTTTTACTTAAATGCCGTTAGTTTAAGGTTAGAAAATTCCGAACCCCGCCGAGACGCTTTTCTATTTTACTAAATTTAAAACTAAGCCTTAAAAGCGATAAAAATTTCAACTTATAAATTTGTCTAAAATTCTAATAAGTTCAAAAATTCAATTCTGCAGGTTCGTTTGAATTTAAAGAGCTTTAACCTTAAAAAATGAAAATTGGCAAGATAAATATTTCAAAAACTTGTAAAATTTGCCTAGATAAAATCTTAAGAAGTTTGATAGACTAAAGATTCGCAAAGTTAAAACAAAATAGTCAAATAAGTTAATCGCCGGAAAACCATAGTTAACGGAGCGTCTTAGGTGCTTTAAACACCTTCCTAAGACACTAATAGGAATCCCGAACCCTTAAAATATTTTTCAAAACGATTTTTTTCTGTTTAAGTTGTTTTGAAAATGAGTTTTCTTAATTTTCTCAAAATTAAGTGGCGACTCCTAAAAGTCGAAAATACCTCAAAAAATAAAACGAACTCTTTTCGAATTTTCGATAAAACAATATTCATAATTCATAAATCTTCCATAAATCTTATTTACAATGAAGGAAAACTCTTTATTTATCGGGAAAATCTAATTTGGTCCCCAAGTAGGATTCATAATCATATTTTAAAAGGAATGATTCCACATAATTAGACATTCACTATAATATAAATTGTTTATAACACAATTATTTTTATTGAAAAAATCAATTTATTTTGTCTCTACCCTCAAACCAGCCCCCCTTCCCAACCATCCCCCATAAAAATAATAATTTAAAATTTATTTTTTAAAAATATTTTTAACATCAATTTTTTCACCTCACCCCCACTCCTATCCCAGCCCCAACCTCCCCCCCACCCCCCGAAAAAAAAGTTATTTTTAAAAAATATCTCTAATTTCAATTTTTTATTTTTATTCCACCTCCACCCAACTATTAGCCTCTCCACCCCCTTTAAATTTGTTTTCAAAAAATATTTTCAACTTAAAAATGTTATTTTATCACCCCTACCTACGACCTCCCCTACCAGCCCCCACCCATCCCCTATCAGCACCCCACCCCCCGAAAAAAATTTTAAGTTTATTTTTTTAAAAAAAATTCAACTTTAAATTTTTATTTTTTCACCTCTACCCTCGATCTCCCTCTCCTCTCCCCCCCCCCCCCTCCCAAACCCGAAAAAAATTCAATTTGTTTCTAAAGAAAATTCAATTTCAGAAATTATTTTCTACTCAAGTAAAAATTAATATATTTCTCAAGAATATTTTTTAATTCATAAATCAAATAATTAAAAAAAATTAAAAAGTATATATTTTCTACTTATCAATCAAACATGAGAAAATAAGTTAAACATCAACTTTTTTTTTAAGAAAACATTTTTCATATAAAATATTTTCCTTCCTTCCAAGCACATCAGTAGAGTCCACTTTTTAGTTGGAAAATTTATTATATAAATATGTAAAATTATATACATGTATATATTCGAATTGGTTTCAATGAAACCGTACCCAAAGAACTTTATTTCTTTTCCGTATAAGAAAAAAAAATATCTCTTTTGAGTGACCCATTAACATAGAAATAGAAAAAGAAACAATAAATATCCCAGAGTATGATGGTGCTATAAAAATATAAGAAATGACAGTTCATATTAGCCCATTCAAAGAAAAAGGAAAAAAAGTTTTTTGTCCACACTTGCTGAATGATAAGCACAAATCATTTTCATCATTACTTTTAAGATAAACTTTCACCATCAATGAATTCATTAGATTTAATTAAGGTAGTAATAATTAGGATAATACACTTTATTGTACTTCATCAGCATTATGGTGGAGGCGTCGAATAAATGGATTGAATTGAGTTTGTACGATTAAAATGAGATGAGTTAATAAATAAATGAGTTATAATTCGTTTAAAAATTATTTGGCTAAATCATAAATTCACAATTTTTACTAAGTTTTAATTACCTTATTGTTTGTTTGAGAATTTTAATACCTAATTAAAAAAATGTTGGCATGTATTACTTATTAAATTAAGAAATGTTTTTAAAAAATATCTTTTGCAAGATCTTTTATGGATCAGTTTAGACTACAATTTATTTTTTCATAAGCAAATTGAAATAAGTTGATCACTAGTAAATGAACGGAGTAATAATTGTTAAGCTGACGCATACAATAATGTACACATGAGTTATATAGAAGTATTACATGTAGTTAATTAAGTTCATATATTAATCTCCAAGAAACTTGTCGAATTAGTTAATCTAATTTTGAATTATTACTTCGACTATTCAACCAGTGACAAATAGGTTTGGGAATTTTAATTTATTAATACTAAATATAATTTAAAGAAACACTTGAAGCAAGTTAAAGATTAGTTTGATGTAATTCATATTAGAAGAAGATTTAGGATCATGACATTTTAATAATTTGTTTGAGTTATATAATCGTTTTTTTTTCTTCTGAGTTACTATTTACAACCAAATCCTACTTTTGCTTATTACGCTTACATATCCCATCTTTCGAATCTAAGTTACGAACGACAAATAATCAATAATTAGCCAAAAATCAAATAATTACGCTCAAGAAAAGAAAGGAACTCATTTGTGTAAAATTTCTAAAGCATATGAATGTCAAACAATAATCTTCCGGTAAACACCACAACTTATAATTAAGAAGTTTAGTGATCTAGCCATTGTACATCTATTTTGTAACTTTTCATTTATGCTTTACTATGTTTTGAGGACGATATTTTAGTAACCTTGCGTTTTAGGCATATTTCATAATATTCTTGATTATTAGCTAAAAGATGTAATTAGATGATTTTCAAATAAAAAGAAATGAAGAAAAACATCATCAAAAAGCTAAAATTTTAATTAGTCGTAAAGTTATAAATTAAGATCGAAGTTAAAATGAATTATGGATAAAGAACTCTAGGGCTATAATTGGTGACCTCGCGCCACAACCTAAACAATGATTCTCGATTTAGGTGCACTAACTAGCGCCCTATGCCATAGACAGACTTCGGAGAATTAAGACGTTGTTTGGTAGAGTGTATTAAAAAATAATAATGTTTGCATTATCTCTGTGTATTAGCAGTGTCTTGTATCGTACCTTTTTTCATGCTATATACACTCTATTGTGTATTGGGGAGTGTATTAACAATACCATGAATTTCTAAGTATTAATAATGCAAAGGAATTTAACGCATGCATTAACACTTTAAAGACTCATATCCCTTAATAGCACTTTTACATATTTTTCACCATATTGTGAAGGATTTCTTGTAAAAAAATAGTATTTTTGTACAATACATGTTATTTTTAATACACAAACCAAACAATACATAAGAAATAATTAATAATGTATGTACAACTAATTCAAGCATAACTAATGCAAGTATTGCTAATACACTATCTTTAACATTATTTTTCTACACTCTATCAAACAACCCCTAAAACTTATAGTGATGACACACTATCTAGTAGCGCCCTACACCATACAAATTTCCTTTATTTTATCAGATTTGGAGCGAAATTTTATCCAAGGAATTTTCATTAAATGAATATAGGCTATTTTATAAGACCTTTTTTACGGGGAAAATTGGAGAACTTACATAGATTCTATTAGCTTAGGAGCTTGTTACTTAGATACACCCTGATTTGCAATATTGCGTATTTTATCGGATTTTTGAGTCTTCAGATACGCCTAGATACATCTATTTGGATACATGAGATAAAATTTAGGTGTAAATTATTCCAGATACATTGTATCCAAGAGGATTCAGATGTATTTGAGATATATGACAAATCTCACTCGCCTACCTCGCTTCTCTTCCATCTTGCTCGCTACTCTCTCATGTATCTGAAATCTCAGATATCGTGAGAATCACTCTATATACATATATATACATGTATCTAGTGTGATTCACATGTATCTGAGATACATATAAATCTCATCTTCTCCCTATTTTTGTGTATCTATTAGAGAAAATACATATATCTAAGTGTAAGATTTGTATTAAACTACTAATGAGTGGTAAAATATATAATAATTAAAAAGTATAGATAATATATATATATATATATATATAAAAGACTAAATCGGAATAATTCATGTACTATTAATTTGGAGTTATCCCCTAACTAAAGGGCCACATAAAAATGAGCCCAGATATCTAAGCCCAATAAGAATAGATCACGGAGAAGTTGTTGACGATCTGTGAAATCACGTTTTTGTAACAATGTTTCGTTGGAAAATCTAATTTGCTCCGACGTTAAGCTCCGTCCGGTGGAATCTCCGATAATTTATCCTCTGTGATCACCGGTAAGCTCGTTTCATCTCTCTTTCGCATTGTATTTCTTTTACGTGTTTGTTAGGAGAATTAAAATCTTTAGTTGTTATAAATTGACAGTTGAAATTGCGTTTAGTTCAAAATAGGGCTATACTCAGTTATTTTCCTTTAGTTGAACTGCTCTGATTATGAAATTTCTACAAATTCTATTTCTTCTAGCATTGACTCAATGTAGTCAGTCCCACAAAGTGTAGTCTGGCGAGATTGAGGTAGAGGGTTGTTTCCGATAAACTTTCAACTTTAAGGAAAAAACAATTCAAGGCAATCCAGAAAAAGTAGAGCAAAGCATTCTGAACAGTAACTAAGGCATAATAATAAGATAATCGAGTTACAAGAAACTACAACAATACAAGACAATGCATGGACTCTCAGTCAATACGTAAAATAAAATTGGAGTGTTTAATGAGCATATATATAGTTGTGGATGAATTTCTCCTGTTTTGGTGTGCCACATTCAGCTCCTTTTTTTCCTTTTGCTTTTAAATGGTACAAATTAGACTCAATGGATCTCCGAAAATGTGTTCTATGCGTTGAGACTTACATTAACATCAAGTGCGTAATAAATAGCTAAAAATGGAAGTACCTAGCTATCTGAATGGTGAGTATTACACAAAAAACAATTTGCAAGTGAATGAAGGAAGATAAATTAGAGATTGAAAGTTTTATCCAAATATCCCTAGTCGTTAAGGATTATTGAGAAGGATCTTTTCTTTTTTACACTTTTGAGGCACTTATGGTTGTTTGCTTTTGGGAATAGGAAGGTAAAAGAAAAGAGTCATGTAGTTAAACGCTAATAGTATATTGGAATTGTTGCAACTCTACACAGAGGAAAGAAAATATGGAGTTCAGGTATAAGGATTCAAAACAAAAAGGGGAAGGCGTTTGCCTGATCAAATCTACAAAGAGGGAGGATAGAGCAGAAAGAGCATAGATCGATGTATATAGAAAGTAGCAGGTGCAGGCACACAACTTGAGTTAAATTCATTTGGAAATAATATAGCATGACAAAGGGTGAAAACGACCAAATATCACATGAATTTAGTGGTGAGTTATTGGATTCTAGACATAGCTCCTGTTGTATATGTGATATTCTGTCCCTTACAACGCAGAACTCTAGGTTACCCCATTTGTATCCTTGTAATGCCCTCGACTTAGAGACTGCAGTGGTTGTGATAACTCACTAGTTAACAAAACAGTTGTTACACCATGTTTGCTACCGAGTCAGTTACATTTCCACTTTATGTAGTTTGCCTCCCAATGTGTATAAACACTGAATTTCAGAAGCCATAAGAGGGTGTATAGGGGCTCGGCAGGGCACAATCTGTGTATTTTTATATGAACGTTGTGGAAGAAGTGAGGAAGTCTTTGACATTTGTAGTTTAATGCTCTTGCATAATTCATAGTGTCTTATGTTCAGATTTTTCTCTTGGTCTCTTCAAATTTTCATTTTCCACAAATAGTTATAACCTTATGATTTTGAAATATATATACTAACCAACATGTTATAAGGCAGTGGGCTCTCATTAGGGCAATATTATCTAATCACACCATGGCTTTAATTTTTTTTTATTCCTGTTGGCCTCTCATTGCAGTCCCTGTTTTTTTGTATCTCTCTACTCAGTGCTCCTTTTGCATCTCAAGTTTTGGTTCCTAAGGAAAATCAATGTTAATTTGAGCTAATGTCTTATTATAGACTTTTACAAGTTACAAGTACACAAAATGCTTAACTGTGTGAGAGATAATGGAGTAAAGGTGAAAACGACAAAATCAATGTTATGAGCTAAATGTGTGTTGTAGTAAACCTTTACATCTTCAGAAAAAACTATCTCTTTTGTATTTGATTTCTCCAAGAGAAGTATAATTTTCTATTCAAAATTGTTCCATTTATAAGATTGTTACCCTGACGATGAATATTTTTTTCTCCTAAAGTGTCTTTTAAATATTCAAATAATACTTGATAATCCAAAATTGAAGTTCATAGGGCTTTTGCTTCTTCTCTTAGAGCTTATGCCCCACAAATGCAGAGATAAAATGCCTCGTTTTCTGTCTTCACATTTTAAGGAGGGAGAGAGGGTGCATTGAATTTGAAGCATGTTGTGATGGTTAGTCTGATAACTATAATATAGACACTAGAAGCTCATGCAAATGTATATGTCATAGCTACTAAGATAACATATATTGACATCTAGAAAATGCAAACCAAAAGCCTCTTACATTTACACGTTTGGGCTATAAAACACACTTCTGCTTGCCTATACTTCTATTATCCCATCAACAATCCTGTTAGATATAAAACTAGTTGCTTTAACGTCAAAAGTCCAAGGTACTTGTTGCATATTCTATTACTTGAAATACTGAGAGAATGTAATGTTCTTTGTTTTCTTCTTGTCTGTGCCATCTCTTCCTTTTCCTTTGCATCCATTGCATCCTTAGATTTCCTTCCACTTCAGAAGCTAAATCGTTTGAGAAATCCATTACCCTCCTCAATTTTTACCAGTTGATCTTCATATGGGAGTTCATTAGTTCTTCCCACTAGTTGTTTTGCCTTCAAGGATGCTCCTTCCCAATCAGTACTATAAGTGACTATTAACATTGAGATTACACATGCCACTTGAGCTGCTAGAAGCCCATAACAAAGGCCCAAAAATCCTAGCTTCCACACGAAGGCCAATATAATGGCCACTGGTGTTCCCATCAAATAGAATGAGTAAAAGTTAATACCTGCACCAACACCGGGCCTAGCACTCCCCCGAAGAACCCCACAACATGTTGTTTGTGGACAATTAGCAAGTTCACAAAGTCCAATAATGGGAAGAACGGTCGCTGTTAGCTCCAGAACTTCTCTATCTTTTGTAAAGACTCTTCCCCATGCTTCTCTCCCTATGGTGGTCAGTATGAATCCAAATGTTGAAGTCAAAAATGCCAGCCCTATGGCTATCCCTGTTGCCAAGCGGGCCTTAGCTGGTCGTCCCGCTCCAAGTTCATTCCCTACCCTACTTGAGACTGAAGCACTTAGGGCCGATGGCAATGTGTACATGAGGGATGTGGTTTGTATTACGATAGCAGATGCAGCAAGTGGAACTTCAGGTCTGTCAAGGTAGCCGGCTAGAACTGTCATGAATTCATACCACCACCACTCTAAGCAAACTGCTAAACAGCTAGGTATAGCAAGTTGAAGAAGCATTATCCATTGCTCTCCCACAGAAATGGAAGGAAGAAGTTTTACATTTTCTGCAAGGGGTTTTGACGGAGATCCGTCTTGGTCATAAGTAAAGAATATATAGCCTAAAAGGAAGAATAAGGTGACAAAGTTGGAGACAAAGGTTGAAATTGCAATTCCTTGGATACCAAGACAGAGAGTAAAAGTCAGGTAAACTGTGATAGGGAAATGCAGCATTGTTGCAAGTGAAGTACACCATAATAGAGGCCATGTTGTACCTTTACACCGTAAGTAGATGCGTAAAGGGTGAAGAAAGCTGTTAGCAATAAGATCCGGGACAGCAAATCTGCAAAATACACTTGCTACATGTATTATTTGTGAGTCTTGGTGTAGCTTAAGCATGAGAGACTCAAAATTAAACCATAAAAAAGCAATAGGTATAGATGCAGTTAATAACATAAAGATTGTCCTTTGGAGGGCAAGAGACACTAAAGTCAAGTTTCTTGATCCAAAAGCCTGGCTAGAAAGTGGTTCCATCCCCAAGGCTAGGCCAGACAATACGGAGTAACCAGTAATATTGGTGAAGCCAATGGCCAGTGCACCCCCTGCCAGCTCCAAGCTTCCCAGCCTTCCCATGCACATAACTAAAATCATGTTTTTCAAATAGGTCGCCAAGCCCATAGCAAGAATAGGAAAACCTCTGTCAATTATTTTCTTCAATTCCTCCTTGACCTAGAAATTATGGGAGGGAAATTGTGCTTGTCAGGGTGATTAATACACATATTTCCTGTGATTTCAAATGTTTTAAAAGGATTCTGTAGTTCGTACCTCTGGTAATGTCGGGTGCTTTTGGGTCTGTTCTGCTGCCATCTTCTTTAAGCTTCTTCCTCTTTCCTCTTGTTTGCTTGTTTTGGACTGTTATAGAGAGAGCTTAACTGTGTATAAATTCTTTTTCTGCATGCGCTTCTGTATCCATGCACAAATACCACCCACTCACGTGCACTTATGAAAGATATAGAGAGAGGGAGATATATATATATATAGAGAGAGAGTGGGAGTGGAAGAGAGGAAAGGAGATACTGAGAGAGACTAACTTGAGTGTCCAGGAACAAGGATATTTATAGGGGATGGAGGTGGTGGTGGATTTCTGAGTTACTGGTGGTTGAAAGTTTAGAACTTGAGTTGAGCCATGTAATGAAGCACGGTGAATATTATTTACATTGACTAATAAGGTGTGCTCTCCTGGTCCAACTGTTGTGGCTACAGTTTGTCCTTTTTCCAAGTATGTAAGAACATATCCACTTCACATCAAATGTATTAATATATCCACTTCTCCTTCTTAAAGAACTATGCTTGAATATTACATTACTGACTATGTTGCTCAGACTCTTCAAACATGCCACCAAGAGCATGTTGGATCCTCCAAAAATAGTGCATTATTGGAGGATCTGACATTGGGTGTGGTAACATTTTTGGAGAGTCCGAGCAACCTAGGTTACTGATATATTCTGGCCTGAAATTTTTTTGGTATTGAATTGTAAATATGGTTCACGTATGTTTTTGTTAATGACAGTTCTTTCTTGTTATCCTTTTACCTTTGTGTTTTATGTATTACCAATTTTGCATTGTATGTTGAACTACTCAAGGGGTTCAAACTGTACCTTGGGTTTTGGCCTTCCGTCATATGCATTCAAGGTCTGTATTTTCATTATTACTTTGGGAGGAAGCCACTAAGGAGACATTTAAATTGACTTCTCATAACCACTTAGGATCAATCTGAGTCAAATGATGGGAATTTTCTATTTGTAATGCATAGAAATAATTACTTTTCTATCTGTATAGGATGTCTTATTTAAAGCAAATCTGAAGTGAACGGGGTATTATTCATCGTATTCTGATTTTCTTATTGTGAGTTGCAACCTTTAGTACATTGGAGTACAAAGTGGCCTAACTATTATTGTTACTTTTGATAATTAGAATTAGGTAATGCCTTTTCTCATGCTAATGATGGAATCTAAAACTATGTTAGTGGTGGTGGTCCCTTGATTGAGCCCTTCTCACATGCTAGTTGGTGATTTTAGGTTAAGCAAAAACCTTCCAGTGATGTTCACATCTATGGTTATTCTAGTGTATCCAAAAGATCCCAAGGCCAAACATTATTTTAAATTGTAGCACGCCCTTTGTCTTGAAAAGTTATTACAACTGTCTTCTTTCAATTTTTATATCCTTATTTGTACATGCTTTCAATATCCCTTCCTACTTTGGTTTCCACATCTCCTGCGTATAACGAAGTCTTAAAACCTACCTCCTCTTTGGTTAGTTAGTTATTTTTGGACTCTTGTTGTGTAAGGTTGTTTTCCTCTTACTCTTTGGTGTCTTTAGTTGGGGGTACATGTGCATACATGCTTTTGTTATTGTACCTGTCTTATGCCTTCAATCCACTATAACTTTGCCTTGTCCATAAGTGACATTTCACCTCTTATCTTTTTCAAGTCTCAGCAATTAGTAAGGAACCTGCATTTGAATTGAGAAAAAGAACAATTTACAAGCTAAGGTTTCTATCTTTCAGGTCATAATGCTCGCCGTTTCCTTTTCACTCAGGTTATTCTAAGAGAAACCTCCTTTGTCTCCATGTCTGCGTGGTAATATTGACTAAAAGTAATTAAGTCATTTGAATTGAAGGTAATGTTAAGTAATTAAGTCATTCGAACTGAAGGTAATGTTGTCACATTGTGATGAAAACATCCATTTGCAGTTTAGTTACACCTCTGGCAAATGACTACTTAATCAATATTGAATTATTGCACTTTTCTTAATAGGGTTGTCAATGCATTTCAGGCACCTAGGGATGGCAATGGGGCGGGGTGGTGGTGGTGGTGGTTGAAATATGTTTTTGAAAAACAAATGTGGGGCGGGTTGTAAGGGCGTGATGCGTGTGGAGGTGGGGGAGGGGGGGGGGGTTGAAATATGTTTTTGAAAAACTAATGCGGGGCGAGTTGTGGGTTTATTGGCTTCTTTTATTTAGTTTTACTATTTCCCTGTCGTATTTGCTCATTATTTTAATGTAATGCTTCCCCGCTAATAATTACTGAGTACTGTTGTGTTTTTTTCTGTTAAAGCTCTAATTTTTCTACTTTCTTGCTTTCATTTTTTTACCCTTATTAGGCTAATGGTTGTTGATATGAATATTTTGAAAACCTAGTTCATGATTTTTTGTGTTTGATCATTTTCTATGGGTAGATCATACATGTCAATAGATCTATATTGAGTTTTTATCATGCAGTGGAAGTTTCTAAAGTCTATCAGGTTGTAGCTAATTAATTAATTTCTGTTAGTTTTTTTTCTCTTAATATCTCATGCTTCAATTAAACATGTTATGATCACTGTAGTTGTTATAATAAATAATGATGTCAACTAACTAAAGTAGTTTGAACGAAAATATATATAAAAAATGAATTAAATTATGCAGGGTGGGGCGGGTTGAAAACAACAAGATTTGCTATGCAGGGTGGGATAGGTTTATGCGGGTTTTCCCCGCCTTGCCCCATCTGCCATCGCTACACGCACCATCCCCCTCCTAATTTCACTAGTACAAGCAAAGATACTGTAATTCTTTTTGCTATCATAATAACATTTCCAACAGGTACCGTCTTATAAGGTGAGTTGTGGCATTTATGCTGCTAAAATGTTGCACATTTTGGTCCCTAAGTTTCAAGCACTGTATGATAGAAGTCAAAAAACCGACGGTGCTTTTCATATTTCCTTCCACACACAAATGGTAGATAAGATAAGAGCACTTCTGTATTTCCATCAATTTAATTTGTCCCATGACGTGGAACAAGTTGAAAGAAACTTAGCGTTTTGGTAGGAGTCGATGTAAAGCACTAACCACCAAATGGGGGTCTGTGTTGCTTATGTCTGAAAGTTTAAACAACTAACTCTACTGTACAAACGTTTTGACATTCGACCAATGCTTTTGTTCCTTGTCCCACAGCTGCTTTAGTTATTGTTTTCCCACTTTTGACCTGAGAAAACAAAAATTTGTTTATTGTTATCTAATCATAATTATTAACTAATAACCTATAGTTTATGAACTAACTGTAGATAATTAAAGTCAAAATTAACAGCAAAAAAGAGATTTTGTGGATCTTCGTGTCATAATCCATCCTCTAGGCTCTAGGACCCATTGAGCATGATATTTTCCTTACTAGATATAGCACTAATCTCTTATTAGGGTTTGTAACCGCAACTATGATTGTTATTTACAGCAAACATCATCTATTTAGAATAGGTTAGTGGAAAGAATCTCTTATTACTAGATTGCCCACATCATTTGGTCTCTTCACATGATGATGATGAAGTTGTGAAAGGCAATATCGTTATCGTCAAGCTTAAAAAGATAAATAAATTGACCATCACCATTTTGTTCGACTCTTTCTTTCTCCTGTACCAGATTCTTGCACATGAAAGGAATATCCAAACGTCTTGTAAAATTGGACTACATCATGTTACCTAATCAAAAGGTTTGACTTGAATCGTTGAAACTTTTATATTGATAGTGGAAAAATTATTTTATATTATCACTGCTATTATAGACTACTTTTTTGAACTGTGAATTTCCCACTTTATGTTCCAATCAGATTATGTTCTCCTTGTTGTGATGTAAACAGATGCCTAAAAAAAACAGTATTTCTGGTGCGGTATCAAGTTGCTTTCCAATTATATAGCAAGATTCTTAAGACAGAGTGGCAACTAGTGCTTTACGCCAAAAAACAAAAATACCTTGAATGTGGAATCTTTACCATTTACGAAATCCAAAAGTTGGCAAAGGGGTATGTGAAGTTTTGCATTCAAATGCTACTTCGTATTTCTCTCTGTTCCTTAAAAACTCTGTTTTAAAAGGGTTTTTTTGGGTCTCGCCCCTGGGCGAGACACTAGATGCCCCAACCCTCCCGTGTGAGGGAGGCTTACACTCTAAGCGTTTGATTGCGTGTCCTAGACACGTGCTCGGGATTCTCTCAACAATTCCTATCAAAATCATGTGTCGAATTCCCTAATTAGCATTGTTAATCCTCAAATTCTTTAACAAATGAATAATAGATGTTCAATTCAGCATTAGAATATGAAGATGAGAATGACTCAAATAATGAGTCATAGTATTTCTTTCTTGCTAATTGAGCACATTGTGTCACGACCCAAATCCGGGCCGCGACTGGCACCCACACTTACCCTCCTATGTGAGCAAACCAACCAATCTAAACCTTAACATTTCAATATAATATAAACAGAAAGTAATGCGGAAGACTTAAACTCATAAATAAAATCAATAACTATTATTATCCCCAAAATCTGGAAGTCATCATCACAAGAACATCTACGATCAAATAACTAAACTAAAAGTATTTTAAAAGCTAAAAATACATAAGAAGCTAGTCCATGCCGGAAGTTCAAGGCATCAAGACTTGAAGAAGAAGATTCAGTCCAAGCTAAAACCATTAGCTCACCCTGAATTTTCGATGTAGTAAGACTGACTTGAATTACTGTTGAGTTGAAGACGATGGCACGTTTGCTGCACTCTACAAATAAACAAGAAGAAAACATAAAAGTAGGGGTCAGTACAAAACACGGTTACTGAGTAGATATCATC